ATTCCTGCTTTTGAGATGTCTAGCAAGGCTATGTTTGAGCAAATTGATGTCGCATTTCAAAATGGACTTCTGAAGCACACAACTGCTATTCAACAGCAGTTTGATTCTACTCATTCGCCACTAGCCATGACTTTGAGGGTATGTGTAGGATGCTTATTTTGAAAACATCTTAATATGACTTTTATCTTAAATGTTGTTTTTCCTGCCATCAGAGATTTTTTTGCCTTTTTATTACTATGGACTATTTTTTGTGGAACTAGTCAGATGTAATTTAAATAGTTTGTGATATATGGTTGAATAATTTTTTCCCTTAAGAAGTGTATAATTCATTTCTATTTGTTTGTTAATAATTTTTTAAATGCGTAGTTTGGCATAGATGATCTATTATGATGCACTTTTTTTTTACCAACGCAAAGATCATTTTGGAAACTTTATATTTTACTTCATTTCTCAGCCAACATTACAAGGCTAAAACATCCATTTACTTCTTATCCACATATGCATGTCTACAACATGCTTGAATCTTGTTTCATTATTGGAAACAAGAAGCTAATTTATTATGAACCAACATTCTGCTATACAGTGGACCTTCCTCACTACCGTGTGCCAAATATATTAGTGGTCTTTCTTCTCTGTATGTCTTGAATGTCTGATATGTCATGTTTGGACACTCAATATAGTGTTATGATTGCACAGGATACAATTAATTCAGCATCATCAATCACTCAAACTTTGAGTGGACAATTGGCTGATGGCCAACGTAAACTGTTAGAAATTGCAGCTAACTCCAAAGTAGCTGCAGATCCCTTTGTATCACAAATCAACAATGGCTTGCATGAGATGGTATGTTTGTTTGTCATTTCCCTTTATCTTCCTATTTTAACGAGTGTTTGTGATATTTCATACTGTAAGATGACTTGCACTTTGACAGACTGAGGATCCTACCAAAGAACTATCAAGGTTGATAAGTGAGGGAAAATTTGAGGAAGCATTTACTGGAGCCCTTCATAGAAGTGATGTTACGATAGTTTCTTGGTTATGTTCTCAGGTATGATAGACATTTTTCCCCTGTTAACTTGAGTAGCTACTCAGAATTGCATATTTTTGGAATTCAGAAATGGTGCTTAGAAAGAAGTAGTCAAAATGAAACAAAATTAAAGGGGAGGAGTTTTTTTCTTTTTTCAAGTTCTACTGTAGATATTGTAAAACTTTATTCTGTATATTTCAAGCAACTATTCAGTGATTCCGGGGAATAAATGTTATCAAATAACCATTATAATCTTGTTATAACGGAATAGTGTAAAGGTCCAACCAAATCGTCATTTGCCATCCGCTATTTGGCATTTAAGGGTGGTGACCGCCATATCCTCCATGGCTGTAGCGCTGTAAAGATTTACGAAGGTCATGGCGGATATGACGCTTTTTTACTAAAAAAAAACACCCATTTTTAGAGTTTTTGACCTGAGCCCAACCCATTTTAAAGAAAAATCCAAAACACTTCTGCCCTGAATGTGGAGCGTTGTTGCTCCCAACCCTGAATGTTGCTGCTGCTCTAGGGTTCTTTGAACCTTCTTTCAACTCCGGCGACATGAACTGCAGTGGCCCCTCACTCTGACAAACCTTGGAGTGAGGTTCAAAACAGGTTCTATTTTTAGTGTTTTTTTCCCCTTTTTTTTTCTTTTTTTTTTTCTTTCTACTTCTTCCTCTTCTGTCCAGATTCTTCATCTGTTTTGTTCTGTTTGAGTTCCTGTTATTCATCTTTTATTCTTCTATTCCTCTTCATGTCCTTCATGTTGGGTCTGGTTTGAGTTCCTATTTTGTTCAAACATTGAAAATTATATTTTGTTCGTTATATATATATATATATATTTATTTAACTATTTAAGTTGATATTTTGTTGTTTTTAATTTATTTTTGCTGTTTGTAATTTATTTTTGTAGTTTTTTTTATATATGTATATTATTATTATTTTTTGCCCGCCGTGGCATCTGCCATAGGTCACCATCCCATCCACCATATGTTTATAATGGATTTTTAACTCACTGCAATAGACCGTTATCAATTATCCATTATCGATAACTTTTACCTTATTAACCTGTAAACAAAATGAAACAAAATGGTGCTTATTCTGATTTCTGAGTTTTTCCTAGGGTAAAATTGCAAATTAATGGGGGTCTTATTGAAAATAATAAGCACACAAAATGTGAAAATGATTTGCAGTTCCTATAATGATTTGGGTCCAACTTTCTGTCTACCATAAACAAAATAAAATCAGACCTCCACATATACTGGTTAATATATTTTTTGTAGTTTGCATGATTATATCAGACAGCCAACTACAACATATCTAATGTTTGATTTAACGCTTCTTCTTAACCAGGTTGATTTAGCTGGTATTTTGGCAATGGTGCCACTGCCATTAAGCCAAGGAGTACTTCTGTCTCTTCTACAGCAGTTGTCCTGTGACATCAGTTCAGAGACACCCAGAAAATTGGCATGGATGACAGATGTTGCTGCTGCTATAAACCCAGCAGATCCAAGGATTGCCGCACATGTGCGACGAATATTGGATCAAGTGTACCGAACACTGGGCCATCAACGGACTTTACCAACTACCTCCCCTTCGGAAGCGAGCACTATTCGGCTTCTCATGCATGTCATAAACTCGGTGTTGTTGAGCTGTAAATGACATTGTTGTATTTTATCATCTGTGCAGAAAGTGTTGAGTATCAACTTTGGTTTGTAATTGTATAGATATTTAGATAGTTTGGAGGGGATGAAGTGAACTACTGTATGTAGTTGTTTTGGTACAACTGATTTGTGTGAAATAGTTTCACTTTCTTTTTTGTATGCTTGTTACATTTTTCCATGGCCCCCTCCTCAGGTGTCTTTGCTCTTTAGAGATATTATTGCGTTCACCTTGATGGGGAAGGAAAAGTGTGACATCCTCATGCAAAGAAGTCAACATTGCAATGACAGTTATTTCCAAGCTGCCTTTGGAGTGGCTGTAGCAAGTACCGACTAGTTCTTGAAAAAGATTTTGTGCTTCTAAGTAGTTGAGAAAATGGGAATGGGAGTGGCTTCAGAGGCTTTATTGTTTTGCTATGATATTTTATGAGGGTTGATTGTGGTGGCAGTTTCCATAAAGGGTAGTTTTGAATGTCTGCAAAGAAGCAGTTATTGAGAATGATATGGAATCCTCCCAGTTATGTAAACTTCGTACTTAATATATCTACAGTAGCAAATTGAGTTGGACTTGAGACCTCTCCTAAATGTCATGTTTGTGGCAGTGGATTGCAGTGTTGTACTCAACATTTCAGATTCTTGCCTGAGCCCAAGTCTTTATGTACAACTTACTCTAGAGTTAGAGATTCCACACCTGTTCCCCCTTCCCCAAGTGAAAAAAATTAATAATAACCAAAGAAAAATGTATATCTTAACTAGGCCTAAGCCCATTTTGGCACTTTGGAGTGCTTCTAGCAGCACTAGTGTTAGAAATTTTTTTTTTTTTTTAAATTAAAAAGCTATTTTGTGGTATTTAAAAGTATTGCACTGTTCTTTTATGTAGTAGAGACTAGTGAATTAGGCTTACGTGCTAAGTGTAGAGGAGCTCAACTTGTTCATGCTGACACTGCTAGTATTTCTGACGTCTCATTGTATCATTTGAGTGATTGGTCTCAGTGGGGGCGTGAAGTCTATGATAGATTATTAGATTCTAGGCCATTATACGACAAAACTGCAGAAATCACAAGATAACCTGCTATAAGCTAATTACAGACTGCAAGCAGCTGAACCCCGTTGCTGCTAAATAAATATGGAAAATTATAAACTTGAACTTCATTTTTGGAATGTATAGCTGGAAAGAAGAGAAAACTAAATAAAGAAAGAGAAAGCAACTAATCGATATGACAAATGATTGCATAAAAAATAATGAAAAGAAAAACACGGAAAAGAATGAGATAGAAGATTAAAAAAAAAAAGCTTTAAATGAATATGATGATGATAGGTCAACAAATACTCTCTCAAGACTTATATATATATATAAAATTACGTAAATTAAGAAAATTAATTAAATGTATTTAATTTTTTATGATTTCATATAAAATACACACTATATTTACTAAAATATCTTTAATCATATTTATTATAGATAGCGTTTTGATTTATTGTTTTAAGAGTATTTTTTAGATTAAGAGCATTAAATAAAGTTAATTTGATTAAAATTTGTTTATATGTAAGTTAAAAAATTTTAAACATTATTTTACTTATATATAAATCTAGATAGAGTATCAATTTTTAGGGACGAGAGAATCCCAAAAAGGTTAAAACAAAATGTTTAAGGTGAATTTCATACCGAAATCGTTAACTTTTGTAATAATTATTATAAAAAGTTATATTTAAGGTGACTTTTAACTGGTTAATCGTGAATTTTTGTAATTAACCATGTAAAATCTTTAAAATAACTTTTATGAGAATCTTTATACTCGTACTGTCTGAAAATTAAACTCAACAAAAACTCTGGTAGCCTCATATATGCATCCAGTCATTTTGCAAGCTTGAAATCACCATAAAACCACGAAAACACAGTGACTATGTTGCTAGTTGCAACACATTACCACCACCCTTGATTAGCTGTGTAGAAGTAAACAAAGCTATATATATATATTTACTGTAGGAGTCTCTGAAATATTTGATTACTTTAAACAAAAAAACATTCTTAACAGCATGTTATAAGTTTATACCTTTCATTGTCTCTCAAACTTACAAAATGTTCTTACTATTTCACAAAGACAAGACATAAAAATAAAATATATATTCAAGATTTTTAAAGATGTTTTTATCACTTATAAGATATTTTTGCCACTTAGAAGATCTTCTTGTCATTTCAATAATGTTTATGCTACCGTCAAGATATTTTTGCCATTTTCTTATCTGTAACTCTAGATTAAGTTCTTTTTGTAATAATGCTTATATTATATTTTGTTTCTTATTTATGTCCAAAAACTGTCAAAAATCTTATTTCCAAACATATTTTTGCAAGGATATTAATAATCTTAAATTATTAAGGACATAAATAGGAAAGGAAATATATTACGAACATTATTACAAAAAGAATATATATATATATATATATATACGCCCAATATATCATAATGACCAAAAGTAAAACTGTGAGGACTTAGACTCAAAGTGGACAATGTTGGATTCAGTAGCAACTCTCATAACCTCTCATAACTCATTATATGATATATATATATATATATATATATATACACAAAGATGCACTTTTTTTTAATTGCAATGTTTTTCTTTGTGGTCTTTCCTTATCCAAAATTAGGAACGCAAAAGGGGGAGCTAATTCCTATCTCACATCACATTGCTGGTCTTATAGATGGGACCGCAAGTGAAGGGTACATGCACGTGTGCATGATGCATGCATGTGTGTGACTGATTGTGTGTGCTGTGTTAATTCTGAGTTGTAAGATACGGTTTTACTTTTACCTTAAAAAAAGCGTAGCGTGTGTGAAAAGCTCACCATTCCTAGATCAATTTTCTTTAGATTACAAATTACCACCACCAACTGTTCCAAATAGAAACATAGAAATATCATATACGTACCTAAGCCCTTACCTGTTCCTTCGCCTCAAGACTCAGGTACACAACTACCCTCGTATCCAACTACCCTTTGTTCTTAACATAATAATAACCATCATCATAAAAATTGCATCAACCGTTTCAACACGTTTTGTGTTTTCCACATGAGTTAATGAGGTTTTGTTGTTCACTTTTATATATAGTAAAGTTTAGTTATGTTTTAATTTCCTAAGTGTATTACAATTTTGATCTTAGTAGTACAACCTTTGGATATGTTTTTCACGTTTTTGTAAATGGGGTATTGGATGTGTTGATGATGTTTTTTTTGGTGAATCTTCCATTGGCAGAAACGGTATATATCAAGGTGATATAAATATGGAACAGGTTAAGAATAAGAGAGGAAGAGAAGATGATGGAGTTGAGATTGTGGAGTCTTCTTTTGAGAACAACACCGCAAAGAAGAGAAATGTCTATGGCATAAGCTTCACGAAGGAGAATAAGGAAATGGAAGAGAAAGAGGCAATGGGAGTGTTTGATTTCCCTTGGCTGAAAGATGGTGTCACATCCAAATCAGATGATCAATGCTGGGATTTTGAAGACAATTTCTTGTCATCTCTAGAAGGCCAAGACACTTTGTTCAATGCTGGTGATGATTTCTGTGAGGAATATGCATATGATTTGTGTGAAACTCCTGAGTCATCAATGGCTCATGTTCAAGAAGCCAAGTTGGTTGAGGATTATGGGTTGGAGCTGGAAGTAGAAGATGGAGATTGTATTTGGAGCTTTCTGCTCAACAAGCCTCTTTAACATGAACATTGGGTATTGTTCTTTCATGTTAGTAGTCTATAATCTTTATCACAGATGTCTATTGATCAATTCTAGTCCCACACCAATTTTGTTACACTTTTTCTTTGATTGTCCAAATAAAATTACATGGACTTGTTACACAAATATGGGACTTCAATTTTGCAATGTACATGAATTTACTATTTATTCTATGCAGGACATTCAAACATTATGTGAGGAATTTAATTCATGATATTTTTCGAGTTGTGTAAGGCATCAACTTCATTCCATTTCATCACACAGACCCTACTAAATAATAGATTAAAATTTGAACCTAGAATCTCAAGGTGATGTATGTAATGCACAACCAATGACCAGTTGATGGCACAGTATATGGCATGGTCCTGAAAATTGAAATCCAATTCTGTTTGCAAATCAAGACAAAGGGGAATTTTGTGAACATGATATAAATTAGAGAGAAATTTGTAGTTATGTGGAGTTACTATGTTTTTATGTTTTGAATAATCATATAATCACTTTTAGTAGAGTTTTTCTCTTTAATCAAATTTTTATTCATCTACAAGACTTGAATCACATTTTTTTATTTTGGGTATGCAGCTAGAGTTACTATGTTGAAATGAGTGTAACATTGGACTGTTCTACGGGTGCAAAGGTTGTGTAACATTTATAGGAATCATCAAAAGCAATATTTGCCACCCTTTATGTCTTTTGGTTGCACTGCAGTACACTCTGCAGGTTAAGTTTTCACACACTCACACGGTCCTAGATGAATATTGGACCACTCATATTTTATCTTAATAAATTTAACTTCAAACACACATTTAAGATTTGAGTGATGGAATCTTTATTCAACGGCTTCAATTTGATGATTATGTGAATGCGTGGAAAATTCAACTTAGGTTCTGATGTGCACATTTTGTATTAACAAAGCATTTTTCATTTATATTTAGTGGTCCACACAAGTATGTTGCTTTAATGACTTGTGCTGTTTAAAGGCATCATACGTTACCTTCAAAATGATTGAGTGGGGTTTGCTTTAGTTGTCATGAAATTCTAACTGATTCTTCTGAAAACTTTTTTTCTCCTAATTAGTGGAACGATTGCTTAGACGTTTAGAAAATGAAAATCATAAATGTGTGGATATGCTATATATTTATACGAAACAAGATAAACTTTCTGTCCACAAACAACAACAACAATCATGATGAACCCCCAAACAGAAAGCATTCTCTTACAATCAACTATTAATAGTTGACTAGCTGTCTTGTATAATGTATATAGAGTTGTTATTATTAACTAGTGTTTTTTGGGATAAATGTTTTTTAAGTAATTAAATTTATAATAATAAATTATATTATAATTAAAGTTCATAGAAAATAAATATTTGTAAATATATGGGTTATATTTAAAATTTATGATAAAAATTTAAATTGTATTACAAGATTATTTTTAACTATGAATAATTTTTTGAAAATGTTATTAAAATTCAATACAGAAATAGAGATAATAGTTATAAAAGGAAAGAGATAGATAGTTAAGAAAGTCAAATGAAAATAAAATGATCATAATTTAAGATGGTTGAAAGAGGAAAATTTTATCTAATTGTGAAGGTGGGTGTGTAAAATGCACATTCAAAATAGAGAAGAAAAAGAATATTAAGCATGTCAGATTGAGAATACATGGTGAGAGTGTTATTCTGTAAATTGTCTATTATAATATATAGTATAAGAATGAATTATTTGAGATTAGTCTTTTATTTACTTTCTTTCATTAAGGGTAGAAGAGACTGAAGAGTAAAGATAAAGAATCGGCGCAACAGTTTAAAACCAATAATCTAACATCATTATAATTTTTTAATGAAAGCTAAAGATCATGACTTGAAGAGAAAGTATTGTATATAATGATATAATATACTATCTTCTATTGTGCATGATGTTACCAATGACATATCACTTCGATCTTACAAGATTTTTAAAAAATTTGCTAGTAAACGGTAGTTGGACAAATTTCAAATGGCAACAAAAGAAAGGTTAGTAGCAAATAGCAATTTTATTTTTAATGTCAAATAAAAAATGGTTAGTGAAGTGACTTCTGGCTGTTACCACGTTATTAAGGACTATAGAAATAGATAAATTGAAGTTGTTGAAAGATAATACATAAATAAAAACAAATAAAGCAAAACCAAATCAGTTTAAGGAAAGAAAAATAAAACAAAATTACTATATTAAATCATGTTCATTTGATACTCTCTAACCCTATATGTTTGACAGAGAAAAAAATAAGAGGAAAGAAAATAGAAAAGAAAAAAAACCAAATACGAAATTTTCTTTTTTATTTGATTGGAGAGAGAGTGAAAAAAAATAAAGATGAAAAGTTGACTAAAAAAATATAAGTTTAAATTTTATTTTCATCCACCAACTAAACATAGGTTACTAAACTATTTCCCATGGAGGTTACTTTTCGTTCCCTATGCTTGGAGTAAAGTACATCAAAAATTCAAAACTCAAAATGAAAATAAAAATAGCATCAATGATTGAAAATTGTTACTATGCACCTTGGTGGATAGTTACAATCTTTAATTGTGCCGACACTTTGGGTTTCTATTATTATTTTTAGTGCTATTTCTATGGCTGAAGAGCAACCAGTGATGTTGTAACCTGTGGTTTTCATATTTCCACAGCCCATATTTTGGCAACATGCATATTAATTCAATTATCTGCATTAAGCCCAGTTTTTCTCCCGTTATTAACACCAAAATTCTTGGCAAAGGAAAATGATTTTGTTACCATTAAAATCCTCGAATAATCGAATGTTTAGTAAACGATATATTCATACATGATTTTGTTGTATTTAGTGTATTTGTTTTCATATCTTCAATATGTTTCTGATTACAGACAACAAGAACCCAACTGCAAAAATTATGAACAACCGAAAGTATTGTTTGCTCCTCCATCTCATCAAAATATCGGTCCAATAATATTGAGATCGAATGTCATGAATCATAAATTTAAATTTAAGTATCATCATTGCATAAAAATAACTATTAAAGTCGGTTTAATAAGAAATAAATGCATAAAAACTTGATAATATCTTTTTAATAAATTGTAGAAGAGTAATTTCTTTAGTGATTTGGGTTTGGATGTGGAACTTTAATATCTATCCAAACATGTCCTTATTATTATTATTACTCCATGCCCAAAAGAAAGCACACATGTGGCTCCAGCTGCAATTTACCTATTTAGGAATAAGTAATAAAATATTAACTATAATACAGTTTCAACCATATTGCAAAAATGTTTAAAAGCTAGTTAATTATATACTATTTGGTGAGATTCATGTTTCCAAAAACAATATCATTAATTGCAATGCTGATTTTTCATTCATGCAACTTTTTTTTTTTACGATCACGATAACAAAAATTAAAATGTTAAACTTTGTTTATACTATACATCAACAAATTCCAAAATTGATGTAAAAAGCAACATAAGTTAAGAATAATATAGTTTTATCTGATAATAATAAAACTACTGAGTTTTGATAAAAACATGAAGGAAGCGGCAATCACGCGCGGACGAGTGGCCAACGAAGCAACTTACATTCACATGCTGTGCTGTGCATCACATGCTCATTGCTCAACATTTTTAATCTTTACAACTACCAAAATTAATTAATTTTACTATTATGAACTTCCTTCGATTAAATTTAAATGTTTTGTCAAATAAATTTATTTATTTTATTTATAAATTATATTTCTAATTTTTTGTTTTTTGTTTTTCGTAATAAACTCAATTTGCTTTGATATACATGTGTCAAAATATGCTTACATATCATTAATTCGAAAACAATAATTTAGCTTTTAAAATGTTATTATGTTTCAAATTTTAGAATATTATTTAGATAAAAGTATTATTCTTATTATTTAAATTTAATATATTATTAATTTTATTTTTAAAATATGATAATATTAATATTTAAATTTTGTGTTACACCTTTGCTCTATGTACTAAGTTAATGGATAAAACTAAAATAAGTTTTTCTTGAAAAATATTTATCTATAAAATTAAAAATAATAAAAAAATCAATACATTATACAACTTTAGGTTTTAATAAAATATTTTTATTTGAAGAATAAGAAAAATTTCTATCTTTAAAATTATAATTACTTAAAAATATGTTTTTTTTTTCTCTCAATAAACTAACTTATAAATTTATAAGTTTGAAGTTAACTTATACTCCATGCTAAAATATCAACTTTAAATAAACATAATAATTAATTTTATTAAACATAATCTAGACAAAATAACTAATCAACAATAAAGTTCATAATTAACTCTCATAATTAACAAAACATTATATTAGTAGTAAGTTGTCTATAAATAAATACTTCCTATTAGTAACATAATTTAAAAAAAAAAAAAAAAAAACTTTTTTTGACAAAGATTATCTTGATTTGCCCCATTTCTTGCTTTTGTGTCATTATTCTTTATGAGGTAATTACATTGCTACATTACATAATGATGGTTTTTAGGAGAAAAAGTTGGCATTTGCAAATAGTGAGACACCGAAGTTACAGAGAAAGACTCGTTCGTTTTCATTCTCTCTCTTCCTCTTTTCTCGTCCATTGCTTTCGTACTTTCTCTTCTTCCCATTCTCTCTCACTCTCTCTCCTTCTCTCTCAGCATGCATACGCATCTTTTCAGAGAAGGGTAGAGGCCGTTAAAGAAGAAAAAAAAAATCTGTTTTTGAAGAGCCACAAGAAAAAACGCGGTTTTTTTTTTTTTTTTTTCTTTCCCTTCTCTCAATGTAACTACTTTCCTCCTTAACGCTTAATTTCGGACATACCCATAGGGAAAAAGAGAAAGTGGGTTTTCTTTTCTGCTGAAAAGTTTCGTTCTTGGCCTCAATCTCTTCGTTTTCTTCATCTGTGTCCAAAGGGGCTCGTGGTTGGTTTTTTTTTTTTTGGTTCTAGAAAATGGTGGCAATGAGAAACATTGTGCTGTTGTTGCTGTTTGTTACTGTTGTGGCTCCTATTGTGCTCTACACTGATCGCCTCGGCACCTTTGAGTCTCCTTCAAGTGAGTTTCAATTACTTTTCTTTCTCCCAATTCATTTGCTTTGGCTATTTGATTTTGCTGATGTTTTGGTTTCTTTGGTTTGGTTTTTGAATGAATGCATTAGCAGCCAAACAAGAGTTTATTGAAGATGTTACTGCTTTTGTAAGTGATGATTGTCTTGAAAGATTCTTCAGTTCTTTTACTAAGGGTGTGTGAGAGAGAGAGAGATCTTTGATTTTCTGAATCTTCTTTTGTTTTGTTTCAGTCTCTCAGTGCAGCGGATTCTGGCCACTTGAATGTGCTACCCCAGGTATAGTTTTATAGTTTCTCTTCTTTTTTCCTTTCTCTAATTGTTGAATCTGTGATAGTCTATTATTTATTGCTGAGATGTCTCATTTTGCAAATAGGAAACATCAACGGCCGTTAAAGAACCTATTAGGGTTGTGTATACTGAGGAGGATTCAACTAACAGAAGGAATTTGCCTCAAAGTATTTTGTTTGTCTTTCTCTGTTCAGTGTGGTTTTTGGTCTTTTGGCCCTTCTTTTCTGGGGTCCTGTTTCTTGTTTTCTCATAGTTTATATCTAATTAATCTCATTGTCATGTTGAGATAGGCTTGTTATTGAGGAAATCAAGGGAGCATGTATCTGCCAGGGTGTTGTCAACAACAACTGAGGAAAATCAGACTCAAAAGGAGAACCCCATCAAGCTGGTGACTGGTGGAATGAGTCAAGGAAATCAAGGGGGGTCCTTGGATAAAGGTGACGCAACTGGTGAAAATGTAAATGGGGAAGATGCTATTGATGTTGATGACAATGATGGGAAACTAGCTAAATCAACTCATGCTTCTATTCAAGAGGCTCAAATTAAGGTTGGTGGTTTATTTTCCTGTTGTTTTCTGATCCAATTCTATGTTCAATTTTGTATTACTACTGCGCTGCATGTTCATGGAAGTCTTAAATATTGATAGTTGGGTAAGAAAATGAATTTGGGTTTCTGGTCTTGCTGAAAAAGGTTATATATATTTATATCTCTGGCGGGAATATCTGTAATGGGTTGTCTATTATCGGTCAAATATAGTACTATGTATACTCAGGGCTTCTGGTGCTTGAACTTGGTCATCTTATCAGGAGTTTACATTTAAGGACTATATAAACTGATTAAGAAGGGGGATCCATGCATGAGGCTCTTACCTACTCAGTGCCATGGTTTGAACCTGTGAGTACCTTCAGATCAGGAGGCAACAGCCTCACTGTTGTGCCAAGGCTCACCCCCTATTATGTACATTGACAGCTCTCACATAATTTGTTTTCAATTGCTAACAAAAATTGATAAATTGGTAGTTTGATAAATAAATTACATGTTAATCTAAATAAATTGAGGTTTATATCCCCATGATGTAAGCATCTTTTTAGACCAGACTCTGCATTTGTAGCAGGAGGACATGAATTTTTTTTTTTATGCAGGGTGCAATGCAACCCTGTGCTGTGCAGATACAATAACATAGTCATGTTGAATTACTGCAATATGTTTCCTTTTTCAATCAAGGGAAGGGAACAAATAAGTTGCTAGCATAGTGTTTTGCCTGTCAAGGCTCGTTACTACATTTTCCAACTCTAATTTTCAGAAAATTACAATATTCTAATGAAAGAAAATCAACTGCAATGCGTATTGAGATTTTTTTTTTATTTCACATTTGATGCATCTTTTCTCATGCTGCCTTGCAGGAGCAACAACTCACAGAAACTTCTAACAACATGAACCAGAAAGGATCTCTGTTGTCTGAAACCAACAAGCAGAATGATCAAAGACCATCTGATGCTCGGGTAAAGCAGCTAAAAGATCATCTTATTCAAGCTAAGGTCTATCTTTCCCTTCCAGTTGTAAAAAGCAACCCTCATCTCACTCGGGAGCTTCGATTACGGGTAAAAGAAGTTTCACGAGCACTTGGGGATGCAAGCAAAGATTCTGATTTACCTAGGAAGTATGTTCTCCTTTAAGAATGCTGTTATATGTCTTCATGTTTTTCTGTTATGTTATGAATCTCTAGCTTGTAATTTCCTTTCTCTTTCTACTAGCATAGACAGAATGAATAGCTCAATTTCTGCTCTGAGCTGCATATTTGTTCAGTTGTAATCTATATTTGTACTAATTGCAGTGCAAATGAGAGAATGAAAGCGATGGAGCAGACACTGATGAAAGGAAAGCAAGCTCAAGATGACTGTGCTGCTGTTGTGAAGAAGCTTAGGGCTATGCTTCACTCGTCGGAGGAGCAGCTTCATGTTCTCAAGAAGCAGACTCTGTTCTTAACACAACTGACAGCAAAAACACTGCCCAAAGGTCTTCATTGTCTTCCATTGCGCCTTACAACTGAGTATCATAACCTGAATTCTTCTCAGCAACAGTTCCCCAATCAAGAGAATTTAGAAAACCCCCATTTATACCATTATGCCATATTTTCAGACAACATATTAGCAACAGCTGTTGTTGTGAACTCAACTGTTTCCAATGCTAAGGTAAACTGTTTTCACTTTGAGAATTCTCTAGATTATTTTTTTGGCTGCCAAGATCATTGAAGAACATCAAAGGAATTTGGTGTGGCTGTACTGTGGTGTAACTACCCTTCATCTAGTTTGAGTAATAAAAAACTTCTTTCTATTTCATTGTTGGCTGAGTTGATAAAGATTTAAACAAAAATAAAGCAACTAAAAGCTTCAATATCATTAAAACCAATGTTTCTTTTATTTCCTCTTGACATTACTTGGTTATAATGATATTATTTTAATGAATTTGCAGGACCCCTCAAAACATGTTTTCCACATTGTTACTGATAGACTCAATATCGCAGCGATGAGGATGTGGTTTTTGGTGAATCCACCAGGCAAGGCAACCATTCAAGTTCAAAACATTGAAGACTTCACATGGTTGAATTCAAGTTATAGTCCTGTACTTAAGCAGTTGGGTTCCCAATCCATGATTGATTATTACTTCAAGGCTCACCGAGCAACCTCTGATTCAAATCTAAAGTTTCGGAATCCAAAGTACCTGTCTATCTTGAACCACCTCCGATTCTATCTACCTGAGATCTTTCCAAAGCTCGACAAAGTCCTGTTTTTGGATGACGATATAGTTGTGCAGAAGGACCTGACTGATCTGTGGTCAATTGATTTGAAAGGAAATGTAAATGGTGCTGTAGAAACTTGTGGAGAAAGTTTTCACCGATTTGATCGATATCTCAACTTCTCAAATCCTCTTATTGCAAAGAATTTTGACCCACATGCTTGTGGGTGGGCATATGGTATGAATGTATTTGATTTAGTGGAATGGAAGAGGCAAAATATCACGGAGGTTTACCACAACTGGCAGAATCTGGTATGTGATGCACTTTGGTTTACTTTTCTGCAAGTATGTGATTGATAGTTACATTAGTCATGCAAAATGAGTAACAAACTTTATTTTTTGAATAAAAAATTAATTGAATTTCTACTAAGATCCTGCTGATATCTAGTCATTTTGACATTTGTTCCTAACGGTTGTAAGGTGGGAATTGATACGTGAATTTTGTGTGCTTTGGCATGCATGTTCATTAATATGTCACTATCTTCTTTAAATGTAGGAACTAGAAATGCTATCAATGAATTGTATTTGGGTTGTGTAAAAGGTGTCGATATATGTTTCTCGGTGTTTGTCATCATAATTGTATTTATTACATTGGCATTAGTCCATCCTGTTTTCAAAAATGTTGTTTCTTTCTGATTTAGATTTGAACTAATTTTCTTTTCTAATTAAACTGGTACAGAATCACGATAGGCAACTATGGAAGTTAGGAACACTGCCGCCAGGTCTCATAACATTCTGGAAACGCACTTTCCCGCTGAACCGATCTTGGCATGTCTTAGGTCTTGGCTACAACCCCAACGTCAGCCAGAAAGATATCGAGCGGTCTGCTGTTATACACTATAATGGGAACATGAAACCATGGCTTGAGATAAGTATTCCCAAGTTTAGAAGTTATTGGACAAAGTATGTTGACTACGATCAGGTGTATTTGCGAGAATGCAACATCAATCCATAGATAGGTCTTTTTGGTACTTTTGATCATTGAAGTATTCTTAGTATTTGCCAAGTTGTGGTGCACCTTTTAGGTCTGCAATTCCATCTGTGTAGGGCTTCTATTTTTTTATAGCTTTACAATTCTTTTTTGTATACGTTTTCCTGTTAACATTGGTGGGTATTTTTTGGACTTGCAACCCTTGATCACATATCTGCAGAGATGCTAACTGTACATGTAAATGAAATGAAGAGTTCTTGTTTTCTTTTCTGTGTTCTTTGACCCTGTTTCTAGATTGTACCCTCCCCCCTCCCCTGCCTCCTTTTGCAAAACATCTCTTTTGTGTTGTAGTCTTCCTTTTGTTTCTGGTACGTGCTTCTTTTAAAGTTTGCACTCTTGTCTTCAATAGTTGCTAGCTTGTATAATCATGTGCAGAGTGTACCTCTTTACCAATGTGTAATAATAATACCTTGTGCAATTTATTAATTTTAACTCGTCATTAATCCACTATTGAATTTATTTATCTATCTTTTTCTGAGTAATATATTGCTATCAACTACTGTGGTTATCATTTCCATTTCAAATGGGTGTCAGGACCCTCAATGTTTCAACCTTCTCACTTGTCTACAGCATAAAGTCCTTTTTTTCCCCTATTAATTACAAAAGGGTTGCATTATTTTCATTTTATTTTGTTTTAAAAAGTTCATATAGGAAACAAAAATAACTATTTTTTTATAGTTTTGTATTTTCAAATAACAAACTTTTGAAACCAGTTAACAAAGTAAAAATAATGTGGCATTTTTTTGTAACTAAATAAAAACATAACATTTTGTCAATCCAAACAATCTCCAGGATGTCTGAAGCTAACTTTGTAGATGCAACTCTAGCAGCTGAGGCTATTTTTATTTTGTTTGGTTATTCATTAAAGAGGATTGTTAATATATAGTTTGTGGGGGGAAAAAGGCAAAGTCGTTACAATATAATCATGGGAGTTGGCTCCACCGACAATGTAATGTCTATGTTTGGTTAGTTGGTTAGTGCCCCTTCACTTTTTCAGCATCAGGTTTTCTGATATTTATTTTTTCAAGTTGCAAGTTGAGTATGGCAGGTAATGGTTAAGAAATGTAGCTATAAACGGAGTAAAGTAGTAGTACGGTAGAACCAAAGAAATATGGTAGAGTGTGCATGCCTGTGAATATAATATGAATATAAGATAGAAGTAGGTTAAAGTGGAGAATGCAACAAAATAATGTTCATGTGCGTTACAGCATAGACAGATCTGTGACCCAATAGGACATGCATAGAAATGATGATACATATACATCAGCCCAACAACTACTGGCATATTTAAAGAATCAACGATTATGTCATCACGTGGTGGTGGGACCCACTGTTTATTATTGGGTTTGTTTTATAGAGAGTGGTTTCTCACTGTGATCACGTGCAGAGTGTTGTCATGAGTCAGTGTTTGCATAGGGGATGATGGGCTTTCTGGAGAAAATGATAGTGTGAATATGAGTCACAACAATAGCCCAAAATTGAACAACACTAGTGTGAGATCATCCATGAGGATAGATATGGATTGGAGAAAAGTATTGAAAGAGACTTGGGACCAGAAATAAAATTTCGTTAACTTTTCTTAACTTGCTCATGTACAGGTGCAGAGTATGTATCAATTGGCTTCTCTTGAATGAGAAAATTTGTTAAGTTAGAAAGTGAAAGTTTAGTCTTTATTGATTTGAAATTAAATTGTCTTTATAGGATATTTTAGTTCAAATTAATAGCAGATAATATCTCATTTTCTCGTTTTATAAATCTTTTTATATTATAGGAGTTGTATATCAAATTATTATTATTATAGTTTAAAATTACTTTTTCACATAAAAAAAGAGAGAGAATATAATGGCATTAATCTTAAAACAACTATACTTATAGAAATTCATATTTATTATCCTCTGTAGAGAGAAGTTTTAGTATTTAATATATGTTTTTCTTGATGATATCAACAAGGTCATCAAATTTTGATTTATTTTGTATAGATTTGACCGAACTATTACATGATTTTCTTTTAGTCTTTCTTAATCAGGTATTATATTAGGAAGTGTAGGAGTCATTTATTTACAAAAATAATTTTTTTCAGTTTGTTTGTGTTGGGAATAGTTGTTGTTTGTATATCTTTATTTGTCAAACTCTAATTTTATAGTTGTATCAGAACCACTTATTTACGTGGACTCTACTAATATTCTAAAAATATTCGTCATGTGTTGAACGATTCATAATATTATTAAGATTCGTCTTTGGACTATATTGGAGGTTGGAATTAATTTAATGATTTATACAAGTATTATTTCATTAATAACTAATATTCTAGATACATCATGGCAGATGATTATTTGGACTACAAGACCAAGATTTGATAAGTAGTAGTCAACGAATTAGAATTTTCCATTTGAACTTATTTTTATAATTCATTTATTAACACAACTGCACATCAAAATTTAAATTCAAGAGTATTAATTAAATTAAAATAATTCCGTATACTCTGACCATATATGGTTGTAAGTAAGCAAAATATGTGGAATACTTGTTTCTTATGTTCATTAAAATGCAGAATAGAGTACACATCTGCATTAGATTTAGCTTACACGTCTACCCAACATTGCTTGGGTCGTGATATAAAGTGTCCTGTGTAAAGGAAACAAGCAATCTTACACATCTACATCTAGACCCTTCCAAAGAAACAATGCTTTTCAATTTTCATGCCACAATTGCCTTTATAGATCTTCAGAAACAATTGATACTACTTTGAATAGAAACAGAATCGAAATACTCATAAATAAGAGTTTTTAACACACTATTAATTTAATTTAATTTTTTTTTATGTTTTTAATATAATAAAATGTTAATTTTCTTTTTCATTAGAGGAACATTTGTCTTGTAAATATCTTTGTCTTTGGTTCTGAACACGTTTTTATCAAGATAAGAGACAAATGACAACTTCAAAGCTTCACTTTGACTTCTTCATTGATATACATATTTTGGATTACTTGATTAGATAATATTAATCAGAATATTTGCTATGATTAATCAAGATAGATCCTATCGATGACTATGCACTAATATATGCTAGGAATCTGAATCAAATTTTAGAAAGTAATTTTTATTGTAAGTTTACTTTTTTATATGTATATATAAAAATCGAATCTAGTGTATAATATAAAAGTTTATAACTCACGCAAATTGCAATTTTTTATCATGTAATTTTAAATCTAAACTAGTTACTTTTATCAGTGATTTTAAAATTAATAATAATATATTAATACATGAACTAATGAGTCGATGATTACAACATAGTACAGATGATCAACATGTGTGTCTGTCAACACCGGCGCCGTAATTATCAACCCAGTTTTCGTTTCCTGAGGCATTTCAAAGCTTCAATTTTTTCAACCGACCCAGAAAAGGGTTTGGTGAAAGCTTCCAATGGGGCTCGCACTTCAAGCTCCGAAACTGAAACCCCCTTAATGCCCAAGAATGTAAGTTTAAGGCCAAGGTCTTTGGATGATGCACTTCACAAACGGAACAGGGACATAACGATTCTCGGTCGCCACGGCAAGCTCAAAGAAGCAAAGAAGGTGTTCGACGAAATGCCTCACCGAGACGACGTTTCTTACAACTCCATGATCACCGTGTGTTTGAAGAACAAAGACCTACTTGGAGCCGAAGCAGTGTTCATGGAAATGCCGCAAAGAAACATTGTTGCTGAGTCCGCTATGATTGATGGGTATACTAAAGTTGGTCTCTTGGATGAGGCTCGTAGGGTGTTCGATAGTATGACTCAGAGGAATGCATTCTCCTGGACAAGTTTGGTTTCTGGTTATTTTAGTTGTGGAAGAATTGAGGAGGCTTTGCACTTGTTTGATCAAATGCCTGGGAGAAATGTGGTGTCCTGGACTATAGTGGTTTTGGGTTTTGCTCGCAATGGGTTGGTGGATCATGCTCGGAAATTTTTTGATCTCATGCCCGAAAAGAATGTCATAGCTTGGACAGCTATGGTCAAGGCATATCTTGACAATGGCTGCTTCAGTGAGGCTTATAAGCTCTTCCTTGAAATGCCTGAACGAAATGTTCGTTCTTGGAACATCATGATCTCGGGTTGTCTGAGGGCCAATAGAGTGAGTGAGGCTATAGGTTTGTTTGAATCAATGCCCGATAAGAATCATGTTTCGTGGACGGCTATGGTTTCGGGTTTGGCACAAAACAAGATGATTGACATTGCAAGGAAGTATTTTGATCTCATGCCTTATAAAGATATGGCTGCGTGGACTGCAATGATCGCTGCATGTGTTGATGAGGAGCTCATGGAAGAAGCTCGCGAGTTTTTCGACCTGATGCCAGAGAAGAATGTTGGGTGTTGGAACACAATCATTGATGGCTATGCAAGGAACGGTGATGTAGGGGAAGCCTTAAGGCTGTTTGTTTTGATGCTTAGGTCTTGCTTTAGACCAAATGAAACCACTATGACTAGTATAGTAACTTCTTGTGATGGCATGGTGGAGCTCATGCAAGCTCATGCAATGGTCATACGGCTTGGGTTTGAGCACAACACATGGCTTACAAATGCACTTATTACACTGTATTCCAAAAGTGGGGATCTCTGCTCTGCTAGATTTGTTTTTGATCTACTAAACTCAAAAGATGTAGTATCATGGACTGCAATGATAGTAGCCTACTCAAATCATGGACATGGTCACCATGCTTTGCAGGTATTTGCACGCATGCTAATATCAGGAATTAAGCCAGATGAGGTCACATTTGTGGGACTCTTATCTGCTTGTAGCCATGTTGGTCTTGTCAACCAAGGGAGAAGATTGTTTGACTCAATGAAAGGCACTTATAATTTAAATCCTAAGGCTGTGCACTATTCCTGCCTTGTAGACATTCTAGGTAGAGCAGGACTTATGGATGAAGCAATGGATGTAGTATCTACTACCCCTCCTTCTGAGAGGGATGAAGCTGTGTTTGTGGCATTGCTTGGTGCATGCAGGGTTCATGGGGATGTTGCAATAGCAAATTCCATTGGTGAGATGCTATTAGAGCTAGAACCATCTAGTTCAGGGGGGTATGTACTACTAGCCAATACATATGCTGCAGAAGGTCAATGGGATGAGTTTGCACAAGTAAGGAAAAGAATGAAAGAGAGAAAAGTGAAGAAAATTCCGGGATATAGTCAAATACAGATAAAAGGAAAAAATCATGTTTTTGTTGTTGGGGAAAGATCTCATTCCCAGATTGAGGAAATTTACAGAGTGTTGCAACAGAACCTTCGACCTTTGATGAGGGAAATGGATTCTACACCAGAGAACTTGTTGCTAGTAGATTAGTTCCCAATTAATTAGAGACTAACCGAAGTTACATATTACATTAAAAGTTTATTCTTTAATTGTTTGTTATTATGAGTGCCCCTGCTTAGTTTCAAACTATGGTTTGCTATTTTTTATCTTTTATAAATGACTGAGAGTGTTTAGAACTTACTAAGAACCAGAATATAGGTTAGAATACAAAGTTGAAACGCAACAGTTCCCTTAAGAAGGGGTTTTATGTTCTTGCAAAGGAAAGGAGAGTACAAACAAGCAAAGAAAGAACTGAAAAGAGGTAAAAAGTGAAAATGTTGCTTACCGTTTAGTTTCAATGTCCAAATCAAATTCAAATAAGCTAATGATTTACCCTTCTGTTCTAATCATGGGATTTCTAAAAGCTGCAGGTATGACTCTTTCTTTTTCTTTATGTAGTGGTCCAGATAGGAACGAAAAGATTCAGAAGTGACCGTGAATCCAGTTGCATTATGATTAATAGACTACCAAAAGTGAAGGCGTCAAACAATAAGAAAATGCCAAAACTTGGCCTCTTGTGAGTTGTGAGTCTTGTGACCTATTAACAACCACCAGGAAATAAGGTGCATGTATTAAGGAAAAACTGTTCATGACTAAGAAAGAAGATACGGACAGAGACTGCAACATATTGGAATAAGATTAGAAACATAAGCAGATAAGCTCATAAGGCACAATAAATTTCCTATTCAATAAACAATTTTCATATAAAAACTTATGACATACTTTTAACATAACTTTGACCATGAAAACTTAATTTGATAACTTTCACCAAGAAATTCTTGAATAGATTATAAAAGTCACAAGTTATTTTCAAAAGTTCAATCAAGTTTGAATTGAGTTCTTCTAAACGTTTCTATAATCCAAGTTCAACTTCCCTCATAGTTTGACCAGGTCAAAACTGAACACTTTGAACAAGCAATCAGACACATTTGTTCTTTGTAGGCTAGCAAGCAACAAGTTTTTGAGGACACAAGGAAGCTTTCCCCTTTACCTTCTTTTGAGAAGCAAGAGAGGATCATCAATAGCTTTCCCATGTCATTCACAAAAAGAGAGATTCCCTATAAGTTCTCAGTACTGTCATTATTTTCCTTTGATGCATCCATCGTTTTCTGGCTCTATTATAACAACTTGCCTCGAAGAAAAATATCCGACCTTGATACATTTTCTCGTACACCACAATTAATGCATAAACCTGATTCTGCTTTAAAGTCGGCACATTCAAGTTTAGTGATTGATTAACCACGACAACTCAATACTTGCATGTAGACATTAAATTTGAAATTATTGGTTTTTTGTCATTTGTCTGCTTGTTATGTGTCTTGCATGAAGCATGTGACGAGGAGCATCGCTACCTAACAACTCCAAATAACTTATGGACAGAAAATAAATAGATAATATTTGAACGTGGACACAAACTTGCTTACGTTTATGCTCATAATAATAATTTCTACAAGTTTGATTTATTAGCAGATTGCTTGAATTGTGGTCTAGTGTATTAGTTAACTCAAAAAATCCCGCCTAGTTCGGTGAAGATCATGATCCAAAGTCCAAACCTTGCCAAATCATTGTATCTAGCTATATTTATTTTCAGGTGTTGTCATGCTGAAATCTAATCCTTAAAAGTTGATGCAGTTGAATTTGGATAGTGCTAAGCATATTATACCCCTTTTCTTAAAATATGTTTAAATTAATTGTCCTTCCTTTTTTAAAATTATACTTTACTGCATTAAGAGATTAACAGATACTATAATTTAATCCATTTTAACATAGGCAAACTTCTTAGGGTCAATTTTTTCTCTTTTTATGACAACTCAGGCATTATCAATAGTTAATTTTGAAAATTAATGGGATCGACCTTAAAAGTTAAAAAGAAAAGAAAAATACCCTTCAAAGGTTTGTTCATAATTCCTCACTACTAAATTATTTACATTAAAATGGACTAAATTATTTAAAATAAGAGAAAGGAGACAGTGAAATTTAGAAATCTCTTAAAGGAATGGAATATATTTTACTCATTTATTTTTCTTCACTTAGAATGCTTTTGTTTCAATCTTTTTGTATGGTAATAATATATATGCTTTTGGTATTTATCTTATCTGAATATAGGTTACTACAGTAACCTAATATATAGGTAATTTGGGGCCCTCAATTGGTATTTTGGGACACCAAAAAGAAAACTAGAAAGAAAAAAAAGGTAAAAGAAGCAACGAGGCATTTGATGGTCACCTATGGCAAGAGTATTCAAAGAGGACCTATTCTAACGCGGTTCAATCATCAATGGGACAACTCATCCTTTTTTCAGATCAAAGGGAATGGAAAGAAAGCAATAACAAGCATGCAAAAGCACATATGAAGCTACTACTACAGAATAATCCCCTTTTGAGTTCCCTCCTCTTTTCATTCACCATATGCTTTATATGACCAAATAAATTTTACTGTCTTTTTTACATTGCAATTAAGAATATAACAAAAAATAACAAAACTTTCATAATCATATTTCGTGTGATATAGTATTTTTTTTATCCACCACAATAGAATTTGGCAGAAAAAAAGTTGCAACAATTCATGTATACTACTCAATTAACATAATTAAACTCGCTTAGTATTTGTGTGATATAATCTAGTTACAATTTTACCTAATAGCTCTATATGTCTAATCAAATTATGAATTGTTAATGTAAATGAGTTAATGTAAGTGATTAAACATTATGCACTCATAGTTGTGAAAATAATATATTTAATAAAAAAATATATGTTTAATTCTTGTTGTATATGAAAACTTATCAGATTAATGACAGACATATTTTATAAATGGTATTGGTCTTTATTCCAATAAAATAGAAATACCCCTCTTAAAACAAATAAAAAGTTATGAATTATTAACATCCAATATAGTCTCACAACAAATGAGCTATATATGCTAAAATATATGGTTAGAAAATCCTGTTGACTTTTACGTCCACAACCGAAATTACTAATGATATAATTAAATAACCAATGTAGCACTAAAAAAAATACCACCATGTGAGTCTCTTATTGGGATTTTTAATCCAAATCTTTCCACCTATAAGAAGCAATTAGATATCTAACCTAGAAAGCTAAACAATAAATATTTATCAGCTATAAAAGAAGACAAACGGTGCAAGAAAAGCATTTTGGAGCCAGCCCACTAGTCTCTCTTGCTTTGGCTACCTTTGGATTGCAAATAACATGGCTATTTATTTATTAACAATCTAAAAGAAAAAGAGAAGAAGAAAAAAAAGCCAAAGAATGGAAGCTATCATGGACCAATGGCTGAACCTTTTAAATTCAAATAAAACGGTCATTTTCCCCACCTCTTGGAACCCTTTTGACCTTTCTCTTTTTCTCTCTCTATCTCCCATTTTTTTCATTGCTTTGTTTTCCAATTTATCCAGCAAGCAAAACCATATCTATGTTTTGACTCTTGTGAAGGCAATTCACAAGTTTTAATCTTTTTTTCTCTCCTTGAAACTATGCTGGGTCAAAGTGATTTTATTTTTCCTATAACTGGTATCACCAACCCACCGAATCAATTGTTCATGATAAAGTGATGGTCACTAACTTAAAGATTTTTATGTTCAAACGAAAATCAAACACAAAATTCTTTGTTAAATAGATCATTATCTCTACCATATCTGAATGCATGATATCTAACTACTTTGTCTACCGTGGAATTGTAAAAGTGATTTTATGTTTTAACTAACGTATGCTGAAAAATGGTAGCAATATTAAAGATATGCCTCGTTGCTACCTTGTTTGAAAGGGAAAAAGAAGAAGAAAAATTGTGCTCCTGTGCTTGTGCTATGCACTAGTGGACCCTATTCCCTGTGTGGAATGTGGGGTGGAGTGCTTTAAATCTAATGGAAACTTGTCATCATTGAACTCATCTCATAAATTGTCATTATGTTTCACAAGCGCTCACTGCATACACACTCTAGATTTAGGGCCATAAAACTGTTACTTTTTTCAAAAAAGAAAAGGAGTACAAGTATATCATAAAAATTTCAAAATTATAGTTTTTTTTTTCTTTCAATAAACATTAGAAAGAAAGTGGAATTAAAATGGATGAAAAATAAGCGTGATCCAAGTGGAGGGATCTCAATATTGCTGTAAACAACTAGTATTCGTCAATAAGGTTGAGTGGGATGGCCCCATAATATCATTGTCTTTGTAAAGGGCCAAATTGGTCCTTCTTCTTCCTCATTTCATGCTATTTCATCAATTTCAACTACCCCTTTTTTCTAATTAATAAAATATCGTTTTAAATGCAAGTAAAATTGATGCTATAGATTATAGACTAATTAATTAAAATTTGCCTCGGTTTGTTTCCAATGGAAAAGGGTTACTCACAAGAAGAGGTAATAGGATCTATGACTTGAAATAGAAACTGCCAAACCCAAACTGAGCTTTCTTTAAAAAGCAATCAAATTATAATCCTAAACAAGAATAATGCTATTCCCATCTTCTTAAATCGTATGGTCCTCACACTTCTTTTTAATAAGCATCAAATAAAAATTTTATCATTTTTAAATTATTTAAAATTACTCACACTTTCACAAATACACATGAAAATGACCATTATGACCCTTACCCAAAATCATAAAGTAAAATATCATATAACTTTCACCTTTGTAAATTAGAGTGTGATTGGTTGAGAAAAAAAGAAGAAGAATATAT